CCAGAAAAGTTCTATATAAAATCCTTTATGAAACTCGTATCAACAATTCAAAAAACTTCCAGATCGAAGGGTCTTCCTTTTCCCTACAAAAACCTTTATTAGAATACTAATTCTTCATTAGACTAACAACCAAAGCTTTCGACAGGTGATGTCGCTGTGCCATGCGGTTTTGCACGACCTCGAAGGCAAGTGCGTTTGCGTGAGTCCATGCCATTGGAGGAAGGAAAACCGGCTGGTGTAAACGCGGCGTGTCACGAGGGAGTTTTGGGGGAACCTAATAAAAATCTACCCCCAAAATCGACCATGTTGGTAGGTTAGTAGCGGTTTGAAAGGGCGGTAGTTTAAAACCAAATATAAACCCAATTTAGGGGTTCGGACGTTGTGTGTTTATTAATAGGTACTCGGGATTAGAGAATTGCCAGAATTTGTTGCTGGAAGTGAGTGTGAAGCTATTGTATGTTTGTTTCAATGCTTTTTCAGAGGGGAAGGGCCTGAAAGGGGGGCACAGCTAAGCAAACATATCCGCACATACATATCCACAAAAACACACAGCAGATTCTGTGACTCAAGCACGGTGCCATCCCATCCACGCTTTTGTTGGGTTGACTGAGATCCCCACCAGAGGAGGTTCGTAAGCAAGTACTGTACATGGTGGGCCGCTAGGCCGACTACATGTGTTGGGACACACATACACACCCGCCACGCTTTTTGTAGCACATCAACTTGAATCAACATCATCAGAAACCGATGATGCAATCGCCTTGAATTTACACATCTTGTACCTTGTCCCCCCCCCCCACTTCTTGAACCCATGGTAATAGGTATGAACATCTCGATGACAGATGGGCATCCATCGCCAAAGATTGTTTTGACAAGATGTGAATCTCTAATTACAGCTAGGGGTACAAGATGACATGACCCCCATACCACCACCTATTTACATATGGAATTTTCTGGGTTCCATTCCAATGCATTTGAGCTCGAAAAAGCCGCGCAAAGCCGCACCCGCTTTGGCCAAGGCCTGAAGAGGATTGGCTGGAGCAGTTCCGGCAGAAGATCATGTCCGGGAGACCCAGAGGACGCTTGGCGTCCTGCCCCCAGTGTTAAGGACGTCGATCGACCGGGGCCTGCGAGTCCAATCTATGAAGTGACGAACAGACTTAGTAGCTTCTTGTTACTACTAGCGATGGCCTCCAACCTAATAGCGATGGCCTCCACCTGGTAGCTTCTTGCTACTAGTAGCTTCAATATTAATATAGTGGGGCTTGTCCACTTCCATGATCGTTGCAGGGAGAGTATCTATGATTCTTGTCATGCATGAGAATTGAGGACATGCTCATTACCCAGTATCGAAGAGACTTCTTCGGATCTTGTTTCGACCAAGGTCCGGATCGGCGCCGGAGGATGAAGAGCAGTAGGCCGGAGGACTCTTCATTGTGGCTGTGGTTTAGTGAAGCAGTAGTAGTGCATGGAGCAAGACAGTGCTACAATTACGGTCTTCACGAAAGGTAGCCCTTTAGGAGATACCTTGAGTTTGACTTGCGAAGCAAGTGTCGGCGAGTCCGGGTCTAATAATTGATCATTCAATTCAACCCCCCCCCCCTGAATTGATTTTTAAATACAAACCCCCCCCCCCCCCCCCCCCTCTAAAGTTCAGGATAGTTGAAACCCTCTTGATTTCAGGATAGTTGAAACCCTCTTGAACATTCAGAAAGAGTCAATATGAAATTCTAATCACGAAAGGTGTTCCCCGAGGGGATACATACCTAGAGTTTGTTTTGTGAAGCACGTCAATTCTCTCCTGGGGAGCGTCTTCGTGAGCCTCTTATGGTTTCAGGATAGTTCAAATCCTATGATGTTCCGATTCAATGCAAATCCTATGATGTTCCGATTCAATGCTCACCGATGATCTGAGCCATGGGGCAAGTTTGTTTTCCTAAGAATCTTTTTGAACATTTCGAGAGCATATGTTTGAACATTTAGAGTGCATATGAACATATATTTACGAAAGGTCGCCTCCGAGGGGATAAATCACCATGTCGAACATTGCATTTTTGTTCCTGCCTCTCGCGTTCTCTTCTCTTCCCGCTGTCCTACCTTTCGTGTCTCCCTCCTCTCAAGTGAAAGACTCCCTGAGGATCCCTCTTCAGGGGCCCCAACCACCGGCTTGCAAAACAGGGCAGTTTTGTGCCACAAGACTGTCAAGCACGTTGTCTTAAGCATACTTCTGTCACGCATCGGTGTGACGGAGACCACGCAGGATCAGAGACTACGCCCACCGCCGGCCATCGCAAAAAGCGGCGCACCGAGCGAGCGCCGCTTGCGCGGCGCAGCGACGCGCGCGCGCGCGCCGATCGCAGCAGAATCGAGGTGTGTGTGTGTGTGTGTGTTTTTGTTGAGGCAATGTTTGTATACACAACATATCAGCTCAGATGGGTTCATGAACGTGAAACAGCGCCGAAGCTTGGCTCAGCCGGTGGGTGCGAGAGACCCCCTGCTGGGCTTTCGATCGATGGAGAAGTACGACAGCTTTTGGGAGTTTTGGCTCATTGGGCCCGGGGGAGTACGTGTCGAGTGGTTCACGGGCGGCACGGAAGGTTTTTGCCGGTTGAAGTGCTTCATGCTCACTAGTGGATGTAGTGGTTCATACTCGAGAGCCATGAATGCAAAGATGAATCAGAATGAACTGCTAGATTGGCCTCTCAGACAGACATTTTGTGGGTGACGGCCAGATGGATGATGACCCTTTTTGCCCGGCCTTTTCTGAGTCGGCTGACTAAGTCCATTTTTGTTTAGAATTGGGAAGCGCTGGATAATGCTGGATATGATGGTAATTGATGGTACCCCAGTAGATCCAATAGAAAACATGAGGTTCAAAACAATTGAACATTGACCTGCGTGCCGTATCCATGTGAGCAACTGCCAAAACCTCCGATGAAGGCAGCATCACTACAATGAATGAAGACTAAGTACAGTAAGTAAAGTGAGGGAAACCTTCAGGAACGATAAGGTTCACAACAAAAAAGACAAGGCTTTCCTACATGGTGCTAGGTGTGTCCAAACCCTCAGGAACGATAAGGTCCACAGAAAAAAACAGCAGATCACGTTGGGAAGAGTGCACACTACAACACCCATACACTCCATGTATGCCATATATGCCTACATTGACCCCCCAAACCACCCCAATGTAGGCATATATCATATATGGCATACATGGAGCGTCTGGGACACATAAGATCACACAAGAGGTTTAACGTCGCTCATGTATTATTCGGAGTGGATCACTGCAGAAAACCGTGCTGTCCTTGCAGACACTTCATGAGTCTGGTCGCCTCATGAAGGATGGTAGAGGCACGTGCTTTGAATGCCCTTCAAAGCTCTTGGCTCAAGTCCCAAAGACTATCTCGCCAGGGCCATATCAAAAGAAAACACCCACCCGGGATTTGTTCACCAACAGTCCTGAGTGTTGGTTTTTCCATGTTTTTTTCATTGCTTCTCGTGACAGTCGACTCCTTAAGGACCTCCACCGGCGCTTGGCCGACTGCTACATCGCGGATGTGGCGCCACTCGGCGATGTTCTAAGGGGGCCGAAGCGCAGGGCTGAGGCGGAGGGGTGGTACAAAGTGAAAGCTACACGGACGCGGCCAGTCCCCTGTTTGTAGATCCCCTGTTTGTAGAGGAAATGGTCTTTCCAGGGGCCATGCCATCCACTTCCTCAATTGTTGGAGGGAGGATAGACCATCATCAACACCTTCACACCCGCAAAAGTGAGCGTAGCATGCCCGAGGGGGGGTGCAAATTGGACTGAAGGCTAAGTAGTGTTTGGTTCAGGGTCAAGTCAGTTTGTTTGATGTTTGGTGGATCCCCAGGTGGGGTGCTGGGCGGCCATGGCCTCAATGGCAAGCCTCATGTATACCAAGGCGAGGCGGCCATTCCCCAGCCACGCGTGTGATGCCCGCGCCTCCCAGTGCCTCGGGCGGCTGAAACTCGCACGACGTCCGTGGGTGCCCGTTGACTGGACCCTCAACACCGCTCCGCACCACTCTGAGCCAACTCTGAAGCCAACCTTTTGCGAATGGCATGCGTCTTTTTTGCGGGGTGTCACCCTTTTTTTGCTTGTTTGCAGCAAACAGACCGACTCTTGATGAAATAAAGACTCCCCAGAATGAAGAGGCTTTTTCATGCTCCCAATTTGTGGGTCATGTTGCCACCTACATTCAAGTATGTACAGTAGCTTGGAGAGTGTATGTGGAAAGCGATCTTGAGACCCCCCAAGGTTTGGAATCCAACCAGGAATCCACATATCGTCTGGCTGCGAGGCACCCCCAAAACATCCCAAAACCATGGAGAAAAACACACGTGCCGCACACATCATAGTTACGTCAAAACAAAGAACATTCCAGCGTATGAGGTCAATTCATCGTATACAGACCAAGTCTCTGTCGACACTTCTGTGTGGCCACCGCTCTGAGGCACGGCTGTCATCCCTCCGCCGCAAAACAATATGGTGGTGCAGTTCAGCATGCCACGCAACAGCCATCAAAGTGCCACTCGATGGGTCATTTTTGAAGACAAAGGTGCAGAACCGGAAGGAGATCGGTTAAACAACGCGGAATCTTAAAAGGGAGGGTGATGTCCTTGGCGCGCAACCATGGTAGGTTTGACAGTGTCTCATTTAGGATAGGGATGCGTGTCACGTGTATATAATGTGCAGGAAAAAGTAATCCTTGGATGGTAAAGGTGCTATGGTCCTTTTTGGGGTTTGTTCTGCTGAGATCAGTGGCTAGCCAATCCTGGCTCTCTCAGCCACCATTTGTTTTGCTTGAAGTGCTTCAATATGTGTTTTGTGCGTGTGTGATTGTAGGAAGAATGTACATGTTTGATCACTTTCGCACTGTACCGAGCATCCAATCAGGAGAATCAGAGAACGTGCAAGCGCTCTTTCATGGTTGGAATATCTTGGGGGTGTCGTTTTCTGTTCATTCAAGCTTGAAGGGGCTGGGAGATGTTTGCTTGGCAAGATGTGCACAGAAGCCCATCTATTGAGTCCGGTGTCCAGGGCAGAGTCCATTGAGCCGGCCCGGCCCCTGGAAGTCTCGTACAATGCTTCACTTGCTCGGCTTGCTTCGCTTCAGGTGATCAGTAATGGTGATGCTTCTTCCTACATCTACGGCCCCAATGGGCATGAGGCGCACGAGATGAGTCGCGGTGGTGGGCGCTCTCCTCTCTCTCTCTACTAGTTATATCTCTTTTCATGTCATGGGGAGGGACATGATAGTAATAGTTTAAAAAAATGATCTGCAAGTGGCTACGGTTCAGCTGCTTCAACTGCTGTTTTAGTTGGCAACGGCTCGCAAGCTGGTTGCCTCTCACGAAATTCTGCTATGGACGCCTCCATCGGAGAACACTAGCCAGGTAAGTTTCAACTGCTCTGACCGCTTCGACTAGGTGATCCCGTGCAAGTACAGTTCCAGCCCTAAATCATCCGTGCCAACCAAACCTACCCATTGCTTTACAATGTATCACTTCAGCAACTTTGATCATGTCTGTATATTTATTTCATTTTGATCCAAATGCATGTCCTCAAAACCAACTTTATCATGAATGATCTTGATGAGTCCCGCACCCTCCGACCGTGTCTCCACCGCTCAGACCGCGCAGACCCAGGCGGCGCGGCGCCCGTCCTTGGGCGGTGCTGTCGAGCCGCCGCGGAGCGGCAGCCTCCGCAGCTCGGCGTTGCTGTCGATGGTGCCGAAGGCCAGCGCTGCGAGCTCACAGATGAGGCGTATGCAGCGCGGGGGCTGGGCTGGAGGGCCGCGGAAGGAGCTGCGGATCGAGGGCAGCTGGGCGGAGCGAGAAACACCTGTGAGGAACAGTGTGAGTTCATTAGGAGCCATGTTCGCTACTTGGAGCAAGCGCATCGCTACGAAGAACCGGCATCGCTACGAGCGGAGCGATCGGACGCTACGAACGGGTGGAGGTGGGTGTGTGTTCGGCTTGAACCAACGCCCACATCGATCACGCAGTCCGGAGACTCCACCCAGGAAGGAGGTGAAGGGAGATCATGGGAGATCTTCGTTCTTCTGTTGGCTTGCCTTTTTGGCCACGTTGCTCAGATTTGTGTTGCTCCACCATCCACTAGAGCGAGTACAATAGGAAAGCAACCAAAATTGCCCCAAATAAGCAGAAAACGTCAGCAACCCCAGAAGAAAAAGTCCAACACAATCCAACACATGATCATACCATGCAAATGCACATGTTCTGTGACCTCACAAAACGCTTGTCACTGTCGAATCCTCGCACGTCGCAGATCAGAAGCACGCAGGCGGGACGAATCCTTTGCCTCGGATGACTCCCATGATCAAAAGGATGATTCCAAGCGGGGCTTCGACCAGGCGACGAGAGCAGCATTTTTTGTCTAAAGAAAAAGTCTTACTAGGAACAAGGACGATATACTAGGTGGATGCCATCGCTATTGGGTTGGACGCCATCACTACTAGGAGCAAGAATTGAAAGTACACGCATAGAAAAAGCACCAGGGAAATGTATCCTTTCGTTTCTCTATACTAGGATGCGGCCTTCGACTGGGCGATTTCCCGTGTTACGTTTCTTTTTTTGTTCGGGCGATACTGATTGGCATAAACACCATCCAGTCATTTGATGTCATTTGTCAGGTACTGTGAAGACCGGGGTACCTATATCCCAGCATGAGTCACATGAGTCACCATCCCACCATTCGCGGGATTCCTGCAAGCACATCCAGTCGACATGAGTTAAATTGGGGAGCAGCGACATGCAACATTATAGTAGACTCAGTAGACGATCTATCAATGAGAGGTTTCTTGTTTACTTATGCTCCTCCCATTTCTAGCAACATCTGGCAATAGAACAGTTGTAATTGTAATACAAGTCCCAGTGCCTATAAATTCTGCCAGATTGATACATTGAACGGCATTAAAACTTGCCTGTTGGACATGGTTTAATACTATGCAGTGTGCTTTTGGATGCTCCTCACACGTGTAAATCAGGAGAAAGCCGACTAAGCCGACACAACAGCTTGAACGGCTGACGACATGTTGCTTAGCCACCAGCGCCATTTGGGCAGGTTTGACACGGCATGCCACGTCTTTCTTTGTTTCGTTTCACCTGTTCCAAGTCGAGACTTCGTTGCCCCACCGATGCGGAACCAACGACGTGAGGTGGTGCCCCACCAAGACACTGCCCGGGCCAAAGCTTCGTTGCACCAACGACGGAGGAGTTGCCACGGTTGCACCATGTTGCACCGTTGACAAGGTGTTGTTTTCCAATTATAGTTGAGGAAGTAGTTTGGTACATTTTGGTACTATATAATACAAATTAAAACATAATCTAATATACTGTATGGATATTCTATGATATTCTATATAGTAACCGGCAGGTGATTGTTTGCCGTTGGGGCGGGGGCTTGTCGTATTCCGAAGCTCACTGGTCACTGGACATGACCTATTGTTCCTATTGATGTCTAAAATGAATCACGACATGATGACATGCTGAATGTTCGAAGGAGCCTCACAGCATCATCTAAAGAACCTGTTGGTTTTGGGCAGGGTCTGAGCTTGACTGCTTGGGTTGGAGAGGAGCACAGTGGAATGCCTGATGAACTTGCACGGGCAGGATGATGATGCTATGATGAACTCAGGCAGATGGCTTTCTCGGAAGTTGACTAGTAGGTACGGGTCGGACATGGCAATGGGTGAAAGCGGTGGCCCTGGTATGCTCTGGTTGACCCCCCGCCAAACCTCTGCCAAATTAGCAAGGTCCTCTTCCAGGGTGTCAACCTGCCATGGTTTTGGGGTTCCTCGCACCATTTTGCGTGTGCGTTCGCGCTCACTCTACGCATCCCTTGCCCATGGCGGGTGTGGTAATGTGCTTGATTGATCAAATGTAGGAGATCCAAAGTCATATATCATCTCCAACCTTCGCACCTTGTGGCCCAAAACCCAAGCACCTCGGCTAGGAACTCACCTGCCTCACACACCAAACTAGCGCCTTTTTTTCGAGAATTCACGTTCGCTTGTGGCGCTTCTTGAGACCTCACCGTGTGCAAGCGATCGCATACATGGTAGACGATTGATAACATATCAACCCCTCCTGCCAGAATGGAAGGTTTTACACATGTGTTACATCGATCTTCATGCAGGGGGGGTTATTGGTCAATAGTCTGATGCAGTACATTGTGCCACCACCCCCAAAACCATATCTTGCGATGCAACGGTGCTTCTGGTGGGTAGCTTTGAGCATGCTGCGCGTTCTCATCAAGTTGAGTGATTTCACCCCCCAAGTCTCATGGTTCTAGCAACGAGAAGCCCTGTGATGAAGTACTCAATACTCGTTATCAACAAGTTACATCCTAACTGTCTACTCTTGATGGTTTGATGGACCAACTGCAATGGCCGCGCTTAACTTGGCAACTGGCACATCCGCCGACCATGGCAGCCTTAACCATGACAGCCACAGATGTGGAGCCGACGAGTCATCAACATTCGAGGATCGATGTCGCACGGTCTACACGAACGCCATCGCACGGTGATGACGTCCTCCCACGCTCCGAAGCCTCACCCTGTGTTCATGGCGCCGATGCAAACATCTTGCGCCAGGGGATGATTTGGATATCACACGGATCGAATTGAAGCCGCATGAGTTCTGGGTGCGCGCCTTTCAAGGCCTGCTCGGGCCGGCCTGCTCGGGGCTCCGGGTCTTCGTGTTTGAGTTTGTTCGATCGGACACGGGACGTACGAGCCGTACATCGAGCCATATTGTAAGTAGGGTGTTTGGCTGTTGGGTCACAGGTGTTGCCGAGTAGTGCCAATCTTGCAACTGTTTCAATGAATGGAATATAATGAAATAGTAGTTTGTTTTTTGAAGAAACAACAACAATTCCTTTTGTGGTGAATATTTGGTCCTTCATCACGGTTGAGAACCAGCCCAGTCATGTACTCCTGCTTGAGTCCTATGGAGATTGAAGGCAGGCAGCGCACATTGAATTCTTCAGGGGGACCTCTCAAAATTAATACTGTTGGCTCTTCAATGATCTTTATAGTGGTTTAAATGCCTGGCTGCCTGGACCTTCAATTGATACCATAATGTTGGGTAGAAGTTCTTTTGGTACGAATTCTAAAGTTGACTGAATTGCGTAAAAATGGCATGGGCAAGCCAAGCCACATGATATGTTGTATCAAATGAAGTCCTTTGTCACCTCTCATAGACCCATAGTGTGCTGCTTCAATACACAAAAAAGAAAAGAAGGAAGGTCCCCCCAAAAAGTGTCCGCTCCTTTGGGGTAGTGCTCGTTTGGTGTCGGGTATTTGCACTCAAATTAGTCATTGTTTCATATTAAGTTTACCAATTGCAGGGTGGCTGTTCAAGTACCCTAACTGTTATATCCCTACCACTGAAGGCCTGTCACCCCTCCAGCGTGCATGCTTCTCTTATCACCAACAGCCCCAAGTTCAAAAGTTAGCTCGAATCTCTGATCATAGGTACGAGGTCACAAAAGCAGGTACAAAATGCCCAAGGGGCCCAAGGGGCAAAGAGTCTGGGCACGTTTGAAGGTTTACGATTTGGTTCGTTCTGGTTTTGCATGGTTTTGCAGTTTCGGTTGGAAGACGTACAGTAAAAGATTTGTCGCAACACCTCATGAGCCACTTGTGCCACTGGTTGGGCTTTAGGCAAAGAGGCCTGAGAAGTAGGAAGACCTTTAGTACGGACCACAAACTGAGCTTTCCAGAAGACTTTGGGCCTTGCATGAGTCAATTTTATATCCCAAAGCTGCGAGTTGGTGTAGTGGCCACAGGCCAGAATGATCATGATCTTCAATCCAAAGGAAGATTCGACACCTGGTTGACTTGTTCCCCTCTTGCCCAGGTCATGATGTAACGGCAGCCATGCGTCGCCTGAATCAGGTACCTCGGCCGGCATCACTTCAGAACACCCCAGCATCGCCACAGGTTTGGTCCGAAATGGCCAGTGGGTAGCGCCTCTCCCTTGAGATGTTGGACAGTAGCGCCTCTCTCTTTGGGATACTCGTCCGTGCGCCAACGGAGCATCTGGGCGATGGCCCGGTGTGATCCTCGCGATCGATCCATCGCGGGTGTCCGCGATGTCCACTCAATACATGTCATTTCACTTGCTTTCGGGGGCAAAACACGGTTTCATACGGTTTCTAATATATATATATATATATGTATTTACATGGTTCTACATGTTACTATCAGTTTTCGGGTCAACCAAAACATGGGGTGTTGGATTTCGCGTTGATCTCCGTCCCCTTTTCGGACAAGGAGACATCCGGCCGCCCTCGTTCGAAGTCGGACAAGGAGCGAATGGCCTACGGTGGCGACGAGGACAAAACCTTGGACAGCGAAATGCCGCTGGAGAGGCCAGGGAGCCCTCTCTCGGCGATGAGACTCGGGGATGTCACAAGCATCTCTCTTGGACGAGACTGATCCGCTCAGTGGAGCACGTTTTCAGAGTAGAAGGACACAGATGTTTGTGGCCTTGATCCCCTTTGTTGTCAGTTATCTTCATGGAACATGTTTGAGATGGATTTGCACATGAATCGCAATCAACGTCACAGAACCAGGATGGTGTGTCGTTGGAGTGTTTGTTTCTCGACGTGCCACATGATCCAGTAGTTCCAAACTCCACGGATAAGGACCGAATAGTAAAGTAAGGTTTTTCATGGTCTCTGTAGCTCAAAACATTATCCTCTAGAAGCAAATTGGTTTCCTGTCCTGCTGTGGTGGCGACAATGGACAAGTTGTCAATCATTTTGAACACCATTAACTAAGGGTATGATAGGATATGCATGGTTATGTATGTAATATAAATATAGTTATATTAATATATAATATGTTGAATGCATGGTAAATGAGCATGGGAAACAAAATCAGCTCTTGCGTTCCCTGCTAGTGGGACAATGTTGAATATTCATTAAGTATCCTTTTATACTGTGCAAGAGCTCGTCACGTCCATCAGGGTAGGTCTTTTGTCCACACCCTGGCAGGACCGCTACAATGATCCATCCGGGCGGCACTTTTCGCATGGTTTGGAACATCTTGGTGGCACTCTGCTTGGTGCATGACGCTGAATCAAAAGTGTGAAAAGCAATTGAAAGCATCAAAAGGACTAATTGGGTAAAAGAGATGTCATTAAAAGTCAGGTTGAGCTGGATGAGAGGAGCGATACCATCCATCCTCCGATGTGACTGGGGGCACGTGCGATTCCAAGGACCTGGTTGTGATCCCTCTCTATGTCTTCGACATCCCAGACTCTGCGGCCCGATGATCGCGGAAGAGTTTCTTCTTGCACGTCGTTGTTTTTTTCTCGCTAGGCCCCGGCACAGAAAACAATAAAGACATGTCATAAGATATCATGATTAGATGGTAATTTGTGTGCGTTTTTCTCAGACAGACTGTGTGACAGAACAGGAAAAGAACCGTCATATTGTGGCGGAGTAACGAGAGTGACGGGCGTGGAGACCCCAGGACTCACCTGCGGTGGTAGTTCGTCCAGGTTCCATTGACCGGGGGCGTCCAGTGAATCGCCATGTCATGCCCAGTGAATCGTTGTTCTGCTCATTGTTTCCCTACATTTGAGGTCATGGACGTGACATGAAGTCAAGATGGGTAGGTTTTTTTCATGGGAAGGGTCGGAAGGGTAGTATACTATATACAAGCTGTATACATGCAGTGCACCCTTGAAGGGAGCAGCCCACCCGTGGTGCTTCGTGGTGCTTCGTGGTGAGTGATGGAGCCACGCGCCCCGGGTCCATGGAGCCAATCCATCCGTCGCAACAGGCTGAAGCCACAAGCTCCAAAGCAGCCACAGATGGAAGGGGTGTCCTCTACACATCACTCAAGTGTCAGAAGGGAAGCGTCATCACCTGAGGCAGTCTTGATCACCTTGGAGTGGTGCACCCAGCTCTTCTGGAATTTTGATATTCTCCTCTCCATGCATACAGGACGCTTGGACTCCAAATCAGGACGCTACTGTATCGCTGCTTTTGGGGTTCGATGCTGGGGTAGGTGGGCTTCGACGTCGAGAACTCCGTGACGCTGAGGATACTACTACAAAGGTCTCCTCATCATGAGTGCGCGGAAAGTGTTCCGCAACTATGTACGCACGTGGCTTGGCGCAGTGAGGGGTTCGAAGAATGAAGACAAATATATGTTTGTTAGATTTACCATGTGTAACTATACTGTAGCTTGGCCTCCCAAACGTGCTGCTATATATTCCATGAAACACACATTCAATCAATCCAACATTCGCTACATTTTGGCAACACATCCAAACATGTTCTTGCTTTTGCAATGTTCATCCTATGCAGCCACCAACAACTCCAAGCACATTCAATTTGAGCCACAATATTTCTTCTTCCAGTTCTTCCTCACCACCTTTGTGTGGTAGCTCTTAAAAGGTTCCTTGCGCAGGCGCTCGCGTAGCCAAGAAATGTTATCCCTGTGTAGGCTGTCGTGTATGCACCCCAAAACTGTATGCCCCTCAAGCAAGCAAAAATAACAACTCATTTGTAGGTCGTAGGCGTAGGCTAAGTTAATTATAGGTCATCAGGACTGCTCCCCTGAACTTGTATGATGGCTTTATATATCTGATATCTCAAGAGAGGAACCCCTCCAAACAGAATCAAATCTGAAGAAGGAGAGGTCCATCTTTGCTTGGAATCATCCCGACAAGCACTTTTCTTCAGAGAGCTTAGATCACCTCTTCAGAGTGTTCTTAGCGCGAATTTCCCACTCACCCGATCACGGCTGAGGTGGATGGCCTTAGATGTGACGTTGGTGTCGCTGGATTGGATCTTCGTCATCTTGGAAGTCTCCGGCATTCAGATCACCTCAGCCGCTTGGCGCGGAGTGTTTCGGCCGGGTGAGGCCGGCGCTGAGCTTCGGTATTTCGATCAGCCCTTTGGAAGTGCATGGGTGTTATATGCAACATACTGTACAGCCTCGGACATCTATTAAATGCAGAAAAGATCAGAAAAGTATGTTTTTATACCTGAATGGTTTGTCACGTTCCCTTTCCATAAACCATCTCCGAATTGCATTCAAAATATGTTCACATTACGTTCATATTGGGTTCAATTACGTTCAAGTTGTGCGCAAGAAGCTATACTGTACTTCATACAGGAGATTGTCCAGGACATAATTCCTGTCCAATCTTACAATCGTTTGCTTGTGTTCATGTTAGAAGAGTTGTCCCAGGTGTTCAAAAGCATTTCATGCAAATGAGAACCAGGGGTAGGGTGCCAATCTGGTGATGTTCCTTTGATTCGTCCAGGAATGCATGGAGATACCTTAATTACTGTAGGAGGACCATCAGAGGCCATTTATATTCATTTGGCCAAGGAAAATCTTGTCATGCTAGGAGCTGAAGTGCATTGGCACCTGTTCAAACCAGGTTTCAAAAGCCAATGTCTCAGCTTTTGGCACTCCGCAATCACCATGCCTTGTTTCTTCACAACAACTTGGTAGGATTTTCTTTGGGATTCGCTTCACTTCACCGGTTCACCGTCGCCCCTTGTTCTTTCGGTGCACCGAGCTGATGACAATGGTGAGCCTCCACGTCTCCACAGGTGGCGCAGCTCTCAAGGACGATCCGGTTCTTACGTTTTCTCAGGCTCTCGGGGGGGGGGGGCACCGGCTCAGTCGACTGGTGGGGAAGGCACTGCATGGTGTGGTTCTGGTCGACTGGTCCACCCGCAGACGACCATGGACCCTGACTGGTCGTCTTTGTGGACGACCAGAGTCCTTCGGAACCGTTTTGAGCCCAGATGCTGTGGGGATAGCGATGGCCTACAACCTAGTGGGGATCGCCTCCAACCTAGTAGCCATAACCTCCAAATCAATCCAAATCAATCCAAATCATAGATCCCCGTTTGTACGGCCAGTTTTTTTGTCCTGTAACTGGACATCCATTTTTCATAAGGTGTTCGAGGCCTATGTTAAAAACAATAAGGATTTTATGTTGAACCAAGGACAGGATCCAATAGCAAAATAACAAAGGATGAACAGGATTTCATACAAGCTATATATATATTTACAGGAATTTATAAAACCACCATTTCAGGATTTCCAGGAAACCAAATAAACTGGAACACTGAATAATTTAAAAAAATAAAAAAAAAAACCACCATCGTTCAGGAAAATATACTGGCACACCAGACGGCGGGACATGTTCACATACTGATTCTGCCATGTCTCTTCCCCTATGCTTCCTCCTTCTAATTATTCTAAGTCGCCTAATCTGCAATGATTTCGTTGATCCCGATTTTCCTGAATGTACCTTATCCTCGGAATGCACATCCATCTAAGCCCTCTAGCATCCTCTAGCATTGATTTTTTAACAAACTGTCCACAGAGACAATTGCGGCCTTTATGATATTCACGTCTTCATCCTCGTCCTACACATCCTGCAAGCAAAGGCAACAGAAAAACATTCAGAAGATGAATGTCATCCCCAAGTCATTCACACCGTTTCATTCACTGTGCTGGTATTCCTATTGTTTGGAACTGGTATACCACAGCCTCAAGGATATCAATGGTTATCTATGGTATATCTTCATAATTCTCAAAAATCATATAAACGAAATCCTATGGAACAAGACTGAAATGGAATAGACGTTTCTCTTCAAGAAGTCTCAGTGTTTAAAAACCTTTAGCATGTTCTCTTCGATTTGGCCTTGAGAGATCACAGAAAAATATAAATACTGGTTGGACACTTCCTAGGAAAATGCTCTCGGTTATTGTTTTTGATGGTTTTAAGTAGACTGAAACATGAGGATTCTATAGCATGTTTGGTCCTTAAAAACGCCACTTGTCGTCTAGGATAATATAAACGGAGACCGTTAGCTCTGACTATTATGTGTGTTTCGGTTGACGGGTTTTATAAATTACATTAGGAGACCGTGCCCGACTCCAACCTGTCGTACAGACGGGGATCTCATGTTCGCCGTGCGGCCTTCTTGCCACCGAGTCGCGGACCAGGCTGGTGCGCATCTTGCGCTGGGTGAAGCTCCGTCGTATGGCCGTGCCTTGGAGAGTGGCCGAGGTTGGATTCGGGGCGGCCGGGACCAGGGACGGAATTTATGTAATATAATGTATATATGCGTTTCATATGATCTTGTCTTGACTCGATGAGAAGAAATGGCTGTTTATTTTTCTCCTGAACTCCTGAACTCCTTTTTTTTTCTGAGAACCAAAGGAAGCTTACATCCATGAACAGCTGTTACATGGGTCCACTTTCAATCGTCTATATTCTATATTGTATATTGAGTCAACCTCCGAGTGGGTGTCCAATCGCCGCAAGCCTGTTATCCTCCGATGTTGCTCGTGTCCGCGCTTGTCGATGATTTGTCAGGGTTTTGCACACCTCGGTGACATGAATCTACAGCAATTGTATGCATTTGCCATCCAGAACATCGGACGGTCTCTTGATGTTTTAGATTAACATCACTTTGTTTTGTTTTGGCGCCGGCTGAGGAAATGTTTCAAGAGCTGATTCAGTCACAATCTGCCGGTCACTTGGATTCTCACCTCAGTGCTGAAGCTGAGTCCATGTCCAGCTACTCCAGGCTGATTGCCAGCAAATTGCCTATTTCCTTTCCACCTGCCATTAGTCAGTTTGGGCGATTTGACTTACTATACTGTGCGTTCAATGGCGAATTCGCCACAATGGACACATGATGATGGCATGGTTTTTGATCCTCAAACTTCAAATATGGTTCCAAGGTGGTGCTTTCTCATCGGCACAGTTTTCTCCACTTTCAGGTTGTTTACTCATATCCTGGGTGTTCGCAGTGTTCTCATATCTTGATCCCAGAATGTCCAATATGGCGCTGATGGACATCAGAAACTTTGCGTGGTTTGGGGAGCCAGGTCTCTTCTATCCGGTTCCTTTCGGAAACCTGCGAACGAGAGCAGATTTAGATAAACAGTATATTTGATACCACACACACTGAATCAGACTGATATTAGTATTTCGGACTATTCTTCGTTTGCGCAAGAATTTGATTATACAAAGTGTGCAAAAGCACCTTGCAAGAGCTTGCAAGTCACAGTCCACGCCAGTCATTCATGGCTCCAACCTAGTAGCGGCGCGATGGCCTCCACCCTAGTAGCTACTTGCTCCTAGTAGTACGGCCAGGAGCCCCGTTCGTAGCGTTCGATCGCTCCGTTCGTAGCGATGCCCTTTGCTCCTAGTAGCTTCTTGTTCCTAGTAGTAAGGCACTCTGTTACTAGAAGCGATGCACTTGCTCCTAGTAGCTTCTTGCTCCTACCAATGCGGAGGCATGTATTGGAGCTTGGTCTTCGGCATAGCGCGCTTACTCATCCTCAACCATTTGGTCGCGTGTGCCTGGTGTCTCGGACGATGGGGTTGTGACGACCAAAGACGAGGAGCCAAAGAGGAGAAACAAATGATGACGGGGATGACGCGTTGTTTCTCATTGTTTTTCTCTGAGTGTATTGAGCTTTGATGTTTTTGATTGATGGTTGGGTTCTTGCAGTAGATACTGTACCTGGAACAAGTTTGAAATCTCATGATCGAACTCGACGCCAGAGGGTGTCCTTTGTTCCTTCGCAGAACACCGGAGATTGGCGAACCTGTGGATCCAGAAGCGCTCTGGATGGGTCACAGGTGGGTCACATTGGGTCACATTGGGTCACAGGTGTACAGCGCCTTCTTTGAGACTGGCCAGACACGGCCATTGGAATGGCATGAAGCCAGATTTAGTTTTGAGCACCTTCCTTGATGATCTTGATTGCAAAAGGCAGAGGATTCGATTTCTTCCTTCGAACCCGAGGATTCGTTGAGCGAAGAAGCACTCTTTTCATGCACAACCAGAAGCTGCCTTTGTCGAATCTCTCACGGTGTGTGTGTGCGTCTGTGTCTGAGAGTGACAACCAATGGGTTCCAATCTCCAACAGGCAAACGGCCCAGACCTCCTGCAGATGTCTGCCCCCAAGACCCCATGTCGAACCCTAAAAGCACCGCTGCCACGGGCTGCCACGCCAAGCATGTCTCACCGTGGAGGTCCGGACGCACCGCTTCGGACGCGTCCGAAGGTTTGGACTCAGCCGGATTCAGGGAGAGGTGAATTGGGTCGAAGCTCATGGCTTGACAGACACTTGGCCTGGCTTGGCGTTCTTCTTTCGTCAGCATGAGCCACGCGCCAATCGAGATCGAGCCACACCAAACATGTTGTTCATGTCGAACAGGGAAACCGGACCTGTTTACTCATACTTTTATTGCGAAAGGTTATGACAGAAACTCATACATCATCATACATCCGGGTTATTTGGAAGGATCCGAGGAAAATATTGTTTTGGTATGTTTGACCACGGTTCATCTGGAGATGTTCATCAAAACGATTTCGGCTGGTGAACATGTTGTCACTGAAAGCTGAAAGCTTCAACAAAATGTATGCGAACACGAAAGCTGAGTTGCCAAAATCTTTCCAAAGGGAGATGACAAAACACCGGAAGGCCATCGATTCGATGTAGATCCAGCCAGCCTTTTTCCTGGGGTAGCCAGGCCGAGGGTGATTGGATGGCCGGTCCAGCAGCGATGTGAGGACAAGAGCTCCTTGCACAAGTATTGGACCTGCTTGACCCTTGGCCACAGGCAGACTCAGGACCTGCCTCCACCCGCCTGGGCACCGGGGATTTGTTCTTGAATCCCTTCAACGCATGTGTTGAACATAGTTGAAACATTTGCATGTCTCTATTGGGGCTCGTGTGTTCATCCGATTTTCGGTGAAAAAGCCGTGGATGATCGTGGATGGACCAAACTGTGCAATGGAGTAGATTTGCAATGCTTCCTAATTTTTTGATATTGGTATGAGACTGTGTGAGCACATATTTCCAGATGTTCCAATCTTGTAGTCATGATGCACAGGCAACTGGAGTTCTACACTGTACATATTTGCATATTACCATATATTACCCATTGATCTGGGCGTGTCCTTGACAGGTGATGCGACCCAAACAATGCCTCGTTTTCGTGCCGTGCGCTAGTAGAGGAGTTGCAAGCACATCATCTCCTATTAACAAGTCCAGGAGATAATGAGAAGAACATATTGCACTTGTCTAAGATGATCTAAGGTGCATGTTCCAATATTCTAAACAACCCTGCCTCCTCCTGTTCACCTGTATGAACCGGATCGAACAGGACAGGACTAAGCACACTCAGCCAAGGAATTGGGCCTTTGCTCAGTTGGGCGTTGGCTTGTCAGACATCACCCCCAGGAACAGCTCCCGTTTCATTTGCTTCTCCGTGCAGCGTTGTTTGCAGTGGCCCGCGGGGGTGCGGATAGGTTGGAACATGACAGAGAGCAAGAATTTTCAGAAGTCACAACGATGAGTCGTTCTCCTGAAGGTCTCAATTTCGGGGCAGCCAAACAGGACATTAATCAGGTGGATTTGTACCTGGCAAATGCTCTTTGATATGTATTGATTTATATTGCGTGGCCTTCCATTAGAGTAATTGGACGCAGAGTGTGTAGGCCAGCTCAAGGTCAAGCCAAAGTCAATAACGTGTGTAGGGAATTGCTTTGACCTTGGCCACTGTTGGGCTCTCCAGAACGTTTTGTTCTACTCATTCAGCTTGTGCCATCACGTTGCTGCAGCCCGACAAAAAGTGGCTTTTGTCCTCCTGCCCCTGGCGAAGCGATACCGTGACTGGATGACCAATTGATTTGTCCACGTGGTTTGTTTTCAATCAAACATAATATGCAGTACACAGATGTACACAGCACTAGTGCAGATTTGATCAGTTGATAGATTATGATAGATTTTATGTTTCAAGGGTTGCTACATATGACTATTTGTCATTTGTTCCGCACTTCTGTTGGACACCTTTCAACCCATCTAAACCCTAAACACCTTCTTCACACCTTCTCTTGAAGACCGAGGCCACGAAACGCTCGTCGCTCCCCCAACTCGTCGCTCGCTCGTGGGTAGCTCGCTCCAGGACGACCACCGAGACCTTCTTCTCGGTGTTGATCGCCTTCAGGCGACGAGACCGACTCGCCTTCGGTGTCCGTGTCGTCTCCGCCGTATTCGCGCCTTCTGCCGACATGCACAGAAACTGGGTGCGAAATTCCAATGTAAAATTCAGAACATCCATGGCCGAATGAGTTGCGCTTGCCACCTTTCGTGGCAAGCGCCGGCACACTTGATGGGTTTGGGCTTCGCTGATCAGTATATTCTGTCAGTGCGAATTCTGGTCAGTTTGGCCAGTGCATCACGCAGTACGCACTTCGGGCTCAAATCTATAATTGCAAATGAAGATAGACCTACCATGACCTACCCAATCACAGGCTGAACAGGTTATTTTGGAGTGGTGTGCCTACTGTATATGAACCAGAAGGAAGACATGTAAATACTGAAACCCTTGACTTGCCAGGCCCATGGAAACTCAGATGCGGCCATGGATTTTCTCATTTTCTATGATTTTCTCTATGTAAAAAGTGGATTTGTATTATGTACATCTCCGGTAACTCCATGCAGGATACGAACCTCAACACCCCTTAGAAGCCTTTCTTTGGAGACCGGCACTCTTGCGGACACGAGCGTCACGCGCGTCACGCAGGGGGGGCGCCTGCAGGTCTCTGATCACGTGCACGACGTTGATCAGTCGCATGACATCTTTGATGACTGCCTTGATCAAGACCAAGGAAGACGAGGCTGAAAGAGACTGACATCGACAGGATGGTGTGGTTCTCGAGTCGCTTGGACCTGGACCTGGGCGTCCAGACATTGTCTTCAATGTCTCACACAGAGTCGACCACTGAAGAACGTCACGCATCACCCCAACACTGATGGTATATGTATATATATATTGTATAATACCAATATATATATATGGATAATACCAACCTCCCCCTGATTTTGAGATGGAGTCGAGTGTGGGGACTTTGCCAAGCTCAGCTTTCTTTGTTGGCCCTATAGTCCTATAACTAGTTTTTTGGCATAGTGTGGGATGGGTTCAGATGGTCTTCAGCACCGTGGCAGTCTCACAGATGTTGAACCGTGCCGCTGTTGCAACGGATGAAGCTGTTCGGATGACACTTTGCAAGCTTGAGAGATGCCTTCTCTTTTGCAACGTTTATTTTTTTCCGCAGGTGTTCATCCATGCTTTGTTTTTGTTTCTTCTCCTGAAGGACCTTGACTCTCACATTGACATGTCTCACCGAGTTCCATGCTTCCTGATGCCAGGAACGGGAGTTTCGCTTGCTGCGGAGCTATTTGGTCTACAATGAGATTCCACACAGCCTGGGGCAGAAGGTGACTCGAGACTCGGCTCGGACAGGCCGGACGGCCGGACAGCGGTGGGACAAGCGGATGTGCCTGAAACCTCGACCAGTGGAGGATCGGATGGTAAGGATGTGCCGACCCCCAAAGTGGCTACATGTGCACATGTGGCGTCTGTCAAAAGGCGAAAGCCAAACGAAACCACATAAAAACACTCCAGCATGGCGGTCAATGATTGCAAGAAGGAGTGTGGTCTCGTCGTGTCCGGAACCAGATCAATCCTCCAAAGGTAAAAGGAATCCCAGCAGGCCTAGGTTGTGGTTGTCGCTCCTGCTGTTGCTGGTCCATGGTTGGGTGGGTGGGTGAGTGGTTGGGTGGATTGTGGTTTATACTTGTCGTGCTTCATACTTTATATATATATTGATTGGTTTATATATATATATATACTATATACAATATACTTGTTGTTTTCTTTTCTTCCAGGTTTTGGTTTCAACTGGGCGGTTCAAAACTTGGTGATATGAACCTCTCCACCAACGATTTGCCTATGGTCATGAGTTCCAATTTGCTTTCAAGCAGAACTCGCTCGGCGGTGCGGTGATGGATCTCAGCCGGATATCCGAGGATTCTTGCAGCACCAGTTCAATCTCCGGGTACAAGCAAAGTCGGCCGATGTCCATGTGCCACTCCTGGAAGCTCGGGCCCGCGATCGGCGAAGCGAGCGAAGCGAGGCACGCAGGGAAACGCAGGCGCAGGAGCACCCGTGTGCGGACACTTTCAAGAGAGCAAAAGGATGAGATCACAGGATTTGATCCAAGAAATTGAGAGGTTCATTAAGTTCAGTATGTTCAATACTCTTAGAAATGTGGAAGAAGATCTCCCCTTCACCTCAGCAGAGGTCAATTGGACCCCAACAGAGGTTTAAGCTGTTTATCCACATAGGACCATCAAATGCCAGCTTTTTCATGGCCCTCCCAAAGCACCGAGAACGCACTCGACATCGACTGCACGTCCGGGCCGTTCTAAGGAATTGCTCTCACATCGACTGCAGGGAGAGTTGCAGTTCGCCCGGCATCAGAAATCCCTCTACCAACTGGAGTTCCTGGTGCCTCGCGTAGAAGAGACAAAACATTTAGGAACATGACCTGAAACATGCTGAAGAGCCTGTCAATGGGTTTGCACTCTGTGATCTATCTTTAGTGCAAGATGTTTCCTTCATTTTTCTTCAAACGACTTGCCTGGCTTTCCATCATCAGGAACATCCAAACTGGAGACTCCTATTTCATCCTATTTCAGGAAGTGGTACCACGTATCTCCTCATGTGAAACTTCATGTCAAGATGCTCGTGATGTCTAGTTTATCCAACACCACCTCGTTTGCCTTCTGACCCAAAACGGGCAGCATCTCCAAAAGCCAAAAGTTTCTGGACCCCGACTCGAGAATAACACCATGGAACTCGATCAACAGCGCCAGTTCAGGAGGGGAAATAAGAACAACGAAAACATGTAGGACTGTAGGACTAACATCAACATGTGCGATACCCCCCAAACGCCATGCCGAATCAAAGGGCTGGCAGGGGGTCCAATTTTGAAACACAGGGATAGATCACAGATCATCGTATGCTATGGAATCACCACACATTATACAATATGAGGAGGTTTTGTTGAAGGAAAAAGGGTGGATCACCGGATCAGAGTGTTTTTTGACTAGCTTTTGGGAACATTTCAGCTTCAAGCAAGGACCACTTGATGCACGAGAAGGACCTCCAAATTGTGATTTGGCTCGAGCTTGAGGGGATGCTTTTGGGTTGGTGGGAGTTGACGAAGTCTAGAAATTAGCGGAAGTTTAATCCCACCTCCAGAAAGGAACCCCAATAGGCCCCCCAGAGAGGGCCATGTTGAAGGCTTGGATGATCCCTTCCGCATGAGCTTACGTAATTTCTCATTTCAATCCTAAAACCAACCGTTTGAACCTTTGAAGCGAAATCCTTGGCCAAGGCCAAGATTGGATAAGATGGGTGTATTTTCTTGCTTAAAAGTGGTAGTGCATGGTTAGCATATGTTAGCATGATTGAATCTGTTGCATGTGTGGCTTTTCTTGATCGGTTGAGGACTTACTGTATCTCAAATTTTGCAAGTCGGACAACCACTTTCCTCCCGGAGTTCTTGGCAGTAAGGAAAGATGGATGAAATAGCAACATTGCCATGGTTGGAGCATGCAAAGCCAGATGTATCCAAGTTTCTTGCTATATTGTTTACAAGAGGTATGGAAGCATGAGGTGCAAATACCTTTCTCAAGAAGGATGCCCACTCATTTGGTTCTTCGAGTGGATGTGCACAAGAAAGTCACTCATCGCTGATCCATGCGCTGTCGCTGTCTCAGGTCCATGCCATGCAGGACATCTCCATGAAGGCCCTGATAAGCGTGCCTGTGGCGGCCAAAGACATCATATTCCTGGGAGGTGCGGCATCCGGGCGAGGCGGTCGTACTAAGTGGGCTGTGGTGGAAGATGGTTTGATCCCGGTGATTCTGGAAGTGAAGATTGGCGTGTATGAGGACTTCACGATTTAGAGTAATTATATAGTGAGTAGTGTAGTCCCATGCACTTCCTGAAGAAATTGCATCAATAATCACCAACAAGGTCTTAGAAGACCACAATTGAAGTTGTTGGCAAGTTTGGGCACGGTCCGACTCTATGTTGTTGACCATTGTTAAAGCTGTCTCGACCGTTGAATCATGGGTTTGCAGAGTAGACGGCAGAACCCTTAAACAAATTGCTAAAAGGGGGATCTACATGGATGCGTAGTGAAATAGGAACCCCCTTCAGTTTGACCCTTGGACCAATTGGAATAGGTAACATTTATATATGCCAGGTATAACAACCCCTTGGGCGAGGGGGTTCTCATTTGAATCCAAACCCATATTCCGAAAAACAACCACTTCTCGGACGGCTCGGCCTGCCATGGCTTGCCCAGTCAAGCGATGTAGAACTGGAGATTGATGGTGATGCCGATGCCCAGATAAGACATGTGTGATCCTCCTGCAATTAAAATGTGCAAACCAGAGGAGGCGGCGGAGGCAGTATCCTAAGTGTGGAGTTCAAGAAGGGAATCTTGATGTTTCTTGTGGAACACAGGTGGTAACTGATACTAGAGCAGCTGCCAGGGAACCTGGCCGGGAAGTCCTATTTGATTCTCACTGGCGAGTTCGCGTACTACCACGAGAAGGGGAAGGCCTGCAGAACCGCTGAACTGCAGATCTGTGAAAGGGGAGGTTGACCTGGCAAAGGAGACGAAAAGGCATGGCATGTTCAGTGCAGACGATTAATGATTAAGATTGTTGTGAAAACAACAGAGGACTCTTTGCAAAGAGGTCTTGGGCAGGAGGGTGATGTGAGGGATTGGCTATGGCTAGGATAATTACTCAGCCATTAAATACCTCCAAGCCAAGAGGCTTGATCTACTGTGTTTCCCTATACATCTAGCAACCAAATGAATAGTGCGAGCGCTTCTTCAAGGAAGCTCCCCCCGCCCTCAGCCGGCCGGAGTAGCTTCCTTGAAGAAGCGTGAGCGATCCTGCGTTCTAGGTAGCTCAAAGAGAACCTCGACTGACCAGCCTTCTTTCACGACTGATCAAAAGACCTGCTTTCCTCCGATCAGGTGACGTTGGACAATGATGCGGGCTGGATCGCAGAGATGCCCGGCAACGAACAAGATGACGTGACTCTCAAGTCTTAAGGCCAAAGATAAGGCTAATAACTATAACAATTAATTGCATATCAGAACTCTATATTTATGGCTGTGGATCAAAACCTTGATACCTTGGCTGACCTTAACGGAAGGTCAAGCTACATGGTGTTGGGGCTCCAGGTGTTGACCCATCATTGGAAAACATATATCCAACCGGCTGAGTTCCTGCAGGTCGCATGGTAGTCTTCAGGAAACGCACGCTGGTTGTCATGACTTGAGGCTACATGGCCCCATCAACAAAAGCTTCCAGTGAGAATGCCTGGATGTTGTGGGTTCTCTTCCGTATCTCTTTGGGGCTGGTCTCTTCGTGTTTTTGGACAAGACAAAACTATCGTGTGTATATATATATATATCAACGTTTATCAATATCTATATATATATATATATCAACGTAGCATATAGTAGCTCTTTGATGCTTGGTTCCTGTTAGAACACCCATGAATATTTCAGGATCGCTCAGCTCGGCTCCTCGTGCAAGGATGGACATGCCCTGATTCGGATCTTACACTCCCTGGAATAGTCATGGAAGTGGACAATGGCCTCTTGGATGGCTCTTTTCCGAATACCAAACAGGTGGTTTCATTCTTCCATGATTATTTCAGGGAGTGTACAACTCATCACCTTGGAATGACAGGGAAGAACAACACTTGGAGATGATAGAGCGATCACCCTATTTATCAAAGAATGTTCCTTGCCCAAGCAAGGGAAGGATTCAGCATGTTGCCGGAAGCGCATGATACATACATACATACATACATGCATACATGCATGCATGCATGCATGCATACATACATACATACATACCATACCATACCATACCATACATTACATACATTACATACATTACATACATTACATACATTACA